CTGATTCAGCAAAACAGTGCTGAATGATTCAGCACAAAAATACATTCTGAATGATTCAGAGCCATTATCAAACAGCATGTCACATTTAGAGCTAATTCATACAGAGCCTCTGAATCATTCACCATTTGAATCATTCAGCGCTTAATCATTCTGAAGTAAACAAGCAGCCCCTTAGTAGTAGTACTAATGAGGTGTAAGATGTAATTCATTAGCACGAATAAGTTATTTCAGAACAATTTAACTTGAAATCTACGGGTTTCGACTTGATCCAAATTGATAGGATCGGATTAAAAAAAATCGGATTTGAGTTAGGTCGGATTTTTTAAGGGGTGAGGTCAATCGAGTTGAGTTCGGGTGGAGGATGAAAGAACTTTGACCTGGGGATAAATAATGTAAATTCTTTAAAAATATATTATTTTTTTAATTAAATCCTTATCTTATACCTGATCGGATTTATACTCTAAAAGTTTGAGTCGAATGTGATTGGATGAAGGATATATAAATTTTCGGATCGAATGAAATTCGAATAGAAGATATAAATTTTTAAACTGAATCAACCAAAAACTCGACCCTAATTCTACCCGTAACCATCCCTAGATTGCAAATCCATATATAAGAACATCCCTCGTAACTAGATTTCAATATTTTAATGAAGATTGCAAATCCATTGAGAAATTATAACAACAAGCTTGTTTGCATGGCCTCTTTGTTTGCTATACACGTAAGGATGAATATGCAATATAATATAATTAATGGTTCAATGAGTTATATTATTTAGTATCCCGGAAACATTGGCGGAGGTGGCGATGAATACTCGAATCCCAAGTTTGGTGGGAGGGTAATGTCCGGTTTAGGTGGAGGTGGTGAGTAGACGGGTGGTGGTGGAGAGTAGACTGGTGGTGGGGGTGAGAGGACTGGAGGTGGTGGTGGTGGAGAGTAGACTGGTGGTGGTGGTGAAAGAACTGGAGGTGGTGGGGGTGGAGAGTAGACGGGTGGTGGTGGTGAGTAGACTGGAGGAGGCGGTGAGAGGACCGGATGAGGTGGAGAGAAGACGGGTGGTGGTGGGGAGGCGACAGGCACAGGCGGAGGTGGCGGAAATACAGGTGGCTTTGGTGGTGAAGACACTTTGCTGCACTTGTCTTTACTGCAATCCACCGGATTATTCACAACCGGTTGGCACTCTTCGGCGGATTTCTGTTGCGGCTGATCAGCCAAACAATTACCGGTGCCGTCGAACACGACGTTCTTCCCCGGTGCCGCTCGGCAAGCATCGGCCTCATCTTGGAAATAGTTGCTAGAATATGTGAAATTCACCAACTTTGGCAACTTGCAAACAGCTTCAGGCACCATTCCCGTAAGCTTATTACCGGAAATATCCAACAATTCAACACTCTCCAAGCCTGAAATAGTCTCCGGCAATGAGCCGACGAAATTGTTCGAGCTCACATCGAAGACCGTCACTTCCTTTAGCATCCCTACTTCTGGTGGGAAGCAACCGCCGAGGTTATTATTCAAAAACAATATCTGATTCAAGTTCTTCATCTTGCCGATGCTGCGCGGAATGCACCCCTCGAATTTGTTATTGGCGAACACCACGACCGACACCGTCGACGTGCCGATCGTGTCGGGGATGGTCGACGTGAACCGATTGTTGTTCAAAAACAAGGCGTCCAACGGTTTCTCGAAGAGCTCCGGTGGTAGTTGTCCTTCAAAGTCATTGAACCTTAGGTCAATGTACCTTACCGAGGGCCATGTGAGTACAACTTCAGGGAAAGGGCCAACGAACCGGTTGTTACTTATATCAAACTCGTACATAATTGTCATCTTAGACAATGTCTTCGGCACAATCCCACAAAACCTATTGCTATTTAGATGGATCAATGCAACATCGGCCAACATCGCCAATTCCACCGGGAGGTGTCCGGCGATATCGGCATGGTTGAGATCGACCCCCGCCACGGTTGTCAGGTTATTGTCATCCAACGCCTGTGCACAAAACACGCCGTTGTAAGCGCACACGTCAGGTCCGACCCAGTTTCCGGTTTTATTTAAAGGGTCCGAGTATATAGCCTTTTTCAAGGCTTGAAGGCCAATGAAAGCTCTCTTAAGCCTGTGGTTTGCAAAAGTCTCCGTTACTTTAACCTCGTACTCGACCTCGTCCGGTAGCTCATCATTCAGAGGAAGGCTTGTAAGCTGGCGGTGAACGATGAAAGCTACCTCGTCGTCGGTCAATGCGAGGACGAATGTCGATAACGAAGCGAAAATACAAGAAAATAAGAGAAAGCTGCCAAAGGCACACAATCTATGAAGGCTAGCCATCCTTGATGTACTAGGATGGCCTTGGAAGATTGATGAGAGGACCCATTGATGAGAGGAGGTTTATATTGAGGCACATAATAGGGTATGGTTTCAACGACCATTGAGAAGTTTATGGGATGTTTGGTCTTTTTTTTATGTCCGGAATTGTTGGTTTCATTTAGACACCATACAAATTTTGGGCGTCACCCTTGATTTTAGAGACAAATATTGTAAGCCCTTAATAGAAAACAAGCAAAGCCAATTGAACAGATTTAGACGTCCGAAATCATTAAATTTATCAAAGGCTTATTACTCAAATAAATAAGTGTCCAAACTATATCGTTTTCCCGAATAGGTGTCTAAAATATTTTTTGTAACGTTACAAACGTTACCATTTGAGGTGTTCGAGTCGTCAACGATGTTAATTTATTCATTGAGTGACCCATGTCACAATCTGGTGATTTTGAAATTTATTTATTTTTAAATATTATTATATTTATAAAAAAACATTATTTTCTCTTAAATTATAAAAAACCCACAAAACCCCAAATCCTAATCTTAACCCGCCACCGCCCTTTTCGGCCACGACCACTACTACCGATGTAGTCCCCGCAATCCTCCTAGTTATACGCCACCATAGTTGTCGTCGATTGGTTGTCGAAATCAAGTGGGATTGCGATTTTCATCCTAGAGTTTGCGGAGTATAGAACGTCGCTCGACCGTCGATCGGTCACGATTTCATAGGGTTTTGATTGCGGGGGAGGTGAGGTCGGGTGGAGCTGCGTCGACGGCAAATGGCGACTGTCGTTGTGGGTTTAGGGTTGAAATGAAGGTTTTTAAAGTTTTGGAGTTATTTCAAAATGTTTATGTTTTTTTAAATATATAATTTTAATTTTAAATAAAATTTTTAAAATTATCATATTGTGACATATGTCACTTAACAGGAGAAATTAAAATCGTTGACAGTCCGAACACCTAAAGTGGTAATGTTTGTAACAATAAGCATTGAGATGAGTCAAAAAAATACTTTAAGCGCATATTCGTGAAAAGCGATATAGTTTGAACACTTATTTGGGTATTAAGCCTTTATCAAAATGTATTACTGTTTATTATATTAAAAGGGTAATTTGTAATAGTTTGATAAGTTTAATAATCGTTTTGTAACATTTGAAAATTTGGTGGTTTAAAAAATATTTTAATGTAATTCAATGACTCACTGTACAAATTACCCTTACCTGAAATGCATGGCCGAATGACATGGTCAGACATTCACATGTAATGTGTTCTATGTTTTCCGCTATATTGTTATTAAATTATACTTGGGCCGAACCAAGCAGATGCACATGAGTCGGGTAAAGTCAGGTTTTCGGTCAACTTGATACGACTAAAAATTATGCATCTTTCATTCGACTCGAATTTGATTCGAAAATTATACACCCTCTATCTGACCTAAAATTGATCGCTCTTTTGAGATAAAATTCGAACCCTACCTGATCCGACATAAACCAAAATAATATATTTATAAAAAAATATTACTTTTATTTAATAAAAGTTAGGGATTTAATTGAAAAAAATAATATATATATAGGGTCTTATTGTAATTATCCCTAAATATATAAAGGTAAAACTACATTTTTTTGGGATCAGGTTGGGTATTTTTCATCCTAAACTCGAACCTGACCTGACCCGAACATATTCTCTAAAAAACCCAAACCGATCCGTACTCAAAGTTTTTAAAAAATTCTACCCGATAAAATCAAATCAGGTCAGAATCCGTCGAGCTCGGGTCACATGCCCATCCTGATCACGTCTCTTTTTTAATTTCATCATAAAAAGGTAAAATTGACCCTGGAAGAAAATTTTAAAGATGTCATTTGTTAAAAAAAAGAGTTAAAATAGAAATTCAAGTGTAGTTTAGGGGTCAATTTTCTTATTAAAGCTACATTTTAATGCGCTAACTTTTTAAGTGAAAAAAATGGGGTATTACACGTTTAACATCTAAACTATCCGTTTTAATATTTAAATTTTTAAATTTTTAAAATCATACTTAATGTTTAGTTTTTGTTTCATTTTAGTACCTCGCTGTTAAAAACTTAACGACATTGCATTTTAATGGTTAAATTACATCATTCATCATTCAACTATCTTTTCACTCCTATTTTGGTACTGAAGTTATTTTCAATTTAACTATTCAACTTTCAAATTGCTCCTATTTTAATCACTCTAATTTATTTTATTAATATTTTTGAAATGAAAATTTTTGTTATAATTTTATTAGTATATAATTAAAAATAAAAAATTGAAAGTTAGACTGGTTAAATTAAGAGTAATTTGAAAGTCAAGTAATTAAATTTAAAAAATTTAAACATTAGTGACCAAAATAGCAGTGAGAAGTTAATTGAGTGATGAATGATGCAATTTACCAATAAAAGAGGTGCCACATGTAAATCACCCATTAAGTTTTTAACGATGAGGTACTAAAAAGAAAAAAAACTGGTAGTTTAGGTATGCTTTTAAAAAAATTAAAAGTTTAGGTACTAAAACAAAAAAATGATAGTTTAGGTACTAAAACAAAAAAAGGATAGTTTAGGTACTAAACATGTAATTTACCCTAAAAATGGCTTAAGTACTAAAGAGAAAAAACGAAAATAAGTAAGGGATTAAATTCAGAGTTATCTCTTTCTTTTTTCTTTCCTAGTCCAACGCAAACACTGCTGGAGCTGACTGAAATATATATAAATGAAAATTACTTAATTATTCTCTGTTTAATCTCTGCCGATTAACTTCTTCTTCCATAAGAAGAATTTTGAAAATTCTGGGAATTCAAGCAATCGAATTCCCCGAATTGGAAAGAAAGTCAGAAAGGAAAGAAAAAAAAAAATCTGAAAATGAAGCCCATGGAGACGATACAGGATCTGATCGACGAAGCCAAAGCACGGACTGTTTGGTGGTTCATGGCTATCTTTGCCGTCACTTACTTCATGTCTCGTAAGTTAACTAATGAGATTTCCAAAGAAAAGCAGTTATTTGCTCTATGTTCGTGTTTTTTTAGTTTTTGAATGTATTTTTGTGGTGAATTCTTTAATTTTACTTCGCTTGGGGTACTCGAGTTTCTCAGAATTGTTTTTTTTTCTAGAGAGGTTTTTTTGGACAATTCCCGTTTTTATCGGAATCAATTGAATATTATATTTTAAGTTTCTATTAATTGAGTAATTTAGGGTGATCTATTTGTATTTTTCGGTTATGTGGATTAGTTTCTCCTGTAGGAATTGATTATAAGTGATTTGTCTGAAGTTCTACATTTGTTAATTGATGCAGATACAAGTACATCAATGTGGATGAATTTACCTATAGGGATTCTTATCGTCTCCGCGTTGCGAATTTTAACTAATGAGGTTGAGTTCAAATGGAAAAGTAAACCAGTTTGTCCGCAAACTTATTTATCTCATTTGGAGAAGAAACAGTTGTCTGTGAATGATTCTCGTCTTTCTAGCACACCTCCTCGGACCAAGTGGAAGAAGAAAATTGATTCTCCTATGGTGGAGGTGGCTATAAATGAGTTTATTGATAAAATACTCAGGGACTTTGTTATTGATTTGTGGTATTCGGAGATTACTCCAGATAGGGAGTTCCCCGAGTTGATTCGCGATGTGATTTTTGATGCTATTGGTGAAATATCAGGAAGGGTGAAAGAGATAAACCTTGTTGATTTGCTAACAAGGTAGGTTTTTAGTTTAAGAAGATTTTTCAATTGTAAAATTGTGAGATTTCTAAAGCTCAAGGATTTCAATTGGTTGTCTAATGTTCCAGGGATATAGTTGATTTGGTAGGGGATCACTTGGATCTGTTTAGAAGAAACCAAGCTGCAATAGGTGTTGATGTTATGGTAACACTGTCATCTGAGGAAAGGGATGAGAGATTGAAACACCATATTATGGTTTCTGAAGAGCTTCATCCTGCATTGATTTCACCAGAGAGTGAGTACAAGGTGTGAGTGGAGTGTTCCAATGAAAACACATGTTGCTTTTGCGTTTTGTGGTTTCTTTTTAATCCGTTTTCTTTTCCAGGTTATTCAGTGGCTTATTGGTGGAGTTTTAGCTGTAGTATTGAGACCGCGAGAAGCTCAATGCCCTCTAGTTCGAACTATTGCTCGTGAGATTGTAACTTGCTTGGTAGTGCAACCTCTTTTGAGATTGGCAAGCCCTGGGTACATTATTGAGCTATGATTTGTTGTGTGTTTAATTCTAAGTACTTCATTTGAAGTTGCAGTTCCAGTTACCAGAGTTAGCCTAAACTTTTAGGTCAAGAATTTCTCTAGTTGATTTGGAAATGCATTCCTATTAAGTGTTTATTTGGTTCTGAAAAAAGAAGAAGCGACTAGAATGTAGGCCATGATGCTTGTAATGACGTTTATAGTGGCTTCTTGATTACCCTCTTACTCTTTATCAATTTAGTTAAAACAATAGGAGGAGAATGTTTACAATGGTTACTTATGATGATTCATTTTTCCTGGGAACAGACTTTGGTATTTTCCTTAATAAATTTTCCTCCTTTTCCCCTTATGTTTTGTTGTCAGGTATATCAATGAAGTGATTGAATGTGTCTTACTTGCCATTAACAATGATACAAACAAGGCGGGGGTTGGTTTTGATCAGTCTTCAGTGGGAGTACATGGTGATGATTCTACCTTACATAAAAATGCATCCTCAAACAGTCAAGGAACTGATTTGACTTTGGCCAGAATTGACAATAGGAAAGAAACATCTTCAGATTGTAATAGATATGAGGAAGAATCAGCGCCGTCTCGACCAGCTGATTGGGCTCGAATATTAGAGGCAGCAACCCAAAAAAGAACTGAAGTTCTTACCCCTGAAAATCTTGAAAACATGTGGACGAAAGGGAGGAACTACAAAAAGAAGAACAATGATTTAAAAGCAGGATTTCAAGACTCTATTCCAAAGGGTTCTGTAACAAAGAGTGCTTTATTAACAGGGAATTCAGGAAGTGAAGTCTCTAACAACAAAATTGCAACTTCAACTGGAAGGGAAGAGAAAAATGTGATGCGACTTATGCCTTGTTCAACTCTTTACACTCAGTTATGTGAATATAACTCTACAGATGCAAAGTTGGGTTCAGAGTTTAACAAGTCGTCATTATTTGAAGGAGATCAGCTTGTCAAAAAGTGTGATGATACTAGCAATCAAGCTGCTGATGGAAATAAGAATAGACTTAAGAGATCCAGTAGTACCTCCGACTTGAAAGTCAAACCTGATATAAAGAAGGCACTTACAGGAGATATTGGAGGTACTATTATTTCAGAGTTCTACAGCCCTGATGCTGGTGATCACAGCAAAGAATATAGTGGAAAGATTGCCTCAAATATAGTGCTTCAAAATGAGGGGCCACATACTCCAAAGCTTAGATGCCGGGTAAGTTTACCTGTTAAAATTGCTGAGTTATACTGATTCAAATTTGATCTGCCAGCTGATTCCAAATGCGACATGGGATCTAAATTAAAACAGCTTCTTGAGCTTGGTGCTGTTGAAATGTGATATGTAATTCTATTTTCTATTCCATGTCTACCTCTACAGGTTATTGGAGCATACTTTGAAAAACTTGGATCAAAACCATTTGCAGTTTATTCAATTGCCGTGACAGATGTGGAAAACAAAACTTGGTTTGTCAAGCGAAGGTTTTATCTCACCAAACTGTTTTATCTTTCTTAAAAAAATACAAAAGCCATTTGTTTAAGGGTCTTTATTTGTTTGATTGCTCTTTTCTGTTAGACTTCAAGGTTTAAATCACTAAATATTCATCTCAAGAGAAAAACTTAAAGATCCAAAAATTTTATTTATTCTCTTCCTTCTTTTATTTTTTTTACAGATACAGTAATTTTGAACGGTTGCATAGACATCTTAAAGAAATTCCTAATTATACATTACATTTGCCTCCAAAAACAATATTTTCATCAAGCACTGAGGACGCTTTAGTTCACCAGCGTTGCATTCAGCTACACAAATATCTGCAAGTAAGTCACTTTTTTTGGTAGTATATTTACTTTCTAAACTTGTTGCTTCAATTAAGCTACCTTTTGGCAGGATCTGTTGTCTATAGCCAATGTGGCTGAACAGCATGAAGTGTGGGATTTTTTAAGTGTTTCTTCAAAGGTGTGTATCTTTGTGACATATGGTGCTACTTTGTTTCTTATGGGTGGGATGAATGCTTTCTGATTCTTCTTGTGGTTTTCTTTTGCTTTTGAAGAATTATGCTTTTGGAAAATCTTCATCAGTGATGAGATCCCTTGCAGGTATGTTGTTCCACTTCTTGGTTATCCACTTACCATGCTATTCTTCCTGTTTTTACATTTGGGTTCTAGATGTTAGCTGTTGCTAACTTAGATATGTTTCATATTGTGGGTATACTTCATCACATCAAGATTGTCCAGAATAAAACAGTTTAGAGATGCTCCAAATGAGCCTCTATAAGTTTAGGAATGCAATGTGCATTTTCCTATCTGAAGTCGAATTTTGTTTGGTAGATGAGGTGTAGCAGTATTAGTTGTTTCACTTCTTACAATGACGTGTTCTACCTATCTCAACTTTCAGAGAATTGCTTATCTTGTTACTTGGTTAAAATTCTGCTTCTGGTTCTTATATATAAAAGGCATGCAAACCCGTCTCTTTGATCAGGGATTCATGCACCTATCATTAAGCCGATTGGCTGGTGCAATTCAGTCTTTTCCAGTTTACCTGTTATGGTGATGTACTGTTAATTTATCTGAAAATAAAAATATCATATTTGTGTTATTATTCTTCTGATTGTGAACTCTTTAGTATCTCATTAATAGTTGAATCCGTATGCTTGGTTGTCTTATGAGTTTTGGCCTATTATCTTAGAATGGTAAATGATTATCCTTTGTCCAATTTACTGAAAATCATACATGGATCTTATGGTTATTGATTTGATTCCACCACTATTGTTTTGAATTTGGTTTTAACTTGGCCGATTTCTTGCTTAATATTGACCATTTTTTTACAGATTAATTCCTGACCTTTTCCAATTTTCCTGTTTATGAATAGTCAATGCGGATGATGCCATGGACGATATTGTACGCCAATTTAGAGGAGTATCAGATGGCTTAATGCGCAAAGTTGTTGGTTCATCTTCTTTCCCTAGTGAAGCTTCTTCTTCAGTCGCTGACAGGACCTTGCCATGGAGTTCAGATGAGATGGCTAAAGAAATTTCTAGGCAAAATAACTTAGAAACAATGAATAGCCTTTCTGATAACGAAGTAGGTGAAAAGGATGGTAGCCATGTTCTGGATGATAGATCTGGTTTACAAGGTCACGGCTGGCATTCAGACGATGGATTGAACTCAAAGCGTTTGCAGCCACAGGTGATAAAACATGGAGAGCGTAGCAATTCAGCTTCTGAGAAACAGGGTTTTGGTGTGAAACCTGAATTGCTTGGCCAGGGTGGATTTCCTGGAGTAAAATTTTCGGCGATCTCCAGCCATTTGGAGGATCCAGTTGGAATGCCTCCTGAGGTAAAAAGCTTCAGCTCTGTTTTTATTTTATTTATCTTTTTAATTCCTATTGGTAATATGATTTTAGCTTATTCTAAGACATTGTTTCTCAACCAATACTTGGAAGCTTCAAATATTTACCAATAGATTTTTGTGCAGTGGACACCACCTAATGTGAGCGTACCTTTACTGAATCTAGTTGATAAGGTGTTTCAGCTTAAGAGAAGAGGCTGGCTACGGTGAGCTAAGTTTCGACTTTTTCCATAGTTTTGAATTAATTAATTGCTAAAATGTTGTATTCTACTATTTTGTAATTATAATTTTAGAAAGATTCACATAAATTGATATTGGACCTTGTTCTTTGGTGTTACTACTGTTTGCTTACCTGTAATTTTGAGTAGTTTGTAAATTATGTTGTCACTGTAGTCATATTTTGTCATTTATTCAAGCCGTATACATTGCTGCTTCAAGGATAGGAGCGAACCGTTTGATATGGTGACTTGATTACCTTTCTTGGAACTAGTAAAAATAATAATGTCTCGAGTCTACTGTTGTTCAATCTTTTAACTTGGATTTAAATGCGTCAGACTACGGCCATGTTTGATATGTTATGATGTTCTAAAATGACTTATTTCTGGAATAAGTTGGGATAAACATGTGCATGTTTTCATTAATGAAGGAGACAGGTCTTCTGGATATCTAAGCAAATATTACAGCTGGTGATGGAGGATGCCATCGATGACTGGCTTTTGAGGCAGATCTATTGGCTTCGGAGGGAGGACACTGTTGCGCAAGGCGTTCGATGGATTCAAGATGCAAGTGCTAAACACTTTTAAGAGATTTTGTAATTTAACTAAGGCTGTTAATTGGCCCCGCATCCGATGCTGTAAAAGCATAACTTTTGTCATTCTAAGCTGCTGCTACCGACATATGAACTTTTAGGTGGTTTCCTGTTTCATAAGGCAGTGTATATAATGATTGGGTTGGACTAAAGATGACATCTTTAACCCGAAATCTGTCTTTGAATGAGAACCGTAAAAAAAAAAAATCTTGAAGAACCATGAACAAGTCTTCTGTTTCTATTAATTGTTTGTTTTTCCCGTAGGTTCTGTGGCCAGGCGGTACGTTCTTTACAAGATCGGAGAACATTCAGAGCAACTTTGGTGATACACCTCCGGACCAGACACCTGCAGAGACCAGCCAATTTAGTGGGCGTGTTGCTCCTAAACCTGGGTCCTTTGAGCAACAACTTGAAGCTACCCGTAGGGCAAGCGACATCAAAAAAATGCTTTTCGGTAAGCATGTTTTTGTGTTACTGGTATCATGCCATCATCAGATCAGGATGAATATCTGCCATGACTTTAGGATCTGTGGCGGTTTACATGCTTGCCATCTGCTCGATCGTCACTTCAAATGTTTCTAATTAAAACTTCTGAAGAACTTTTGTTCTGGTTTATCGTAGTTTGTAATATGTTTATCGATATAGTTTATGTTGTGAAAATCATCGACATATTTGGCAGATGGAGCTCCAACAACCTTAGTTAGCTTGATCGGGCATAAACAATATCGACGGTGTGCCAGAGACATCTATTATTTCACTCAGGTTGCGTTTTTATCCATCTTCCACAAGTACCTTGACGTCGATATTTTCGTACTTTCTTTTTGGTTTCGACTTTCTGAATGTATTTATATGCCATCATCCATTGCAGTCTACTATATGTGTGAAGCAACTTGCTTTTGCGGTATTGGAACTTCTACTCGTATCGATTTTCCCCGAGCTGCAGGATCTCATGAAGGAACTTCACGGCAAGAAACAAACGAAAGTCCCGTAGGAAGTTCCGGTTTCGAGATCTGCCAACGAAGCGGATTTTTGTGTATTTTTTTCGTGTTGTGTCTTAACTAACATTGCCATTGCCAGTGTGATTTAGGGAATAGGTTTTGTTTTCATGTTGTAAATGTAAAGGAATGTGGATATGCTATGTACACTGGGACTTTGGTGTAACACCCATAACCCGTATAATTATACCTATACAGATTATAAATGTCACCCGAATTTCTAAAATCTATTTCCATTTCACAATTGATTTAAAATTTATTTTCTTAAAATGGTAAATGATATTATAAAAATATCATATCATATGAATTATGTTTTATTATAACAAATTTAAGGTAAAATATTTTTTATGAACAGTATCGTGAACAGTGAATCGATGTACTGTTACAGTAACGTGAACAGTGTATCGATGCACTAAACTTTCGAATAAAAAATGTGTATCGATGCATTGCTACAGTATTTTTCGAAAATTACATAAAACTCAAAAATTTAACCTTTCTTCACTCCAAGGTTACCATTTTGTTTCCAAATTTGTTCAACAAAATAAATCGAACATTATTAATTACATGTCACTTTCTAAGTCAAATTCCATCATAGGATGTCTTACTGATATTGAAATATACTCATCGATGCTTGATGTCCTTTTTGAACTCTTTATTCCATTACTGACTTTTTACCTACGAGTGAAAATCATCACACGCTAAGTATAAACTTAGTGAGGCAATTTAAAACAATAAACAGTGCAATACAATTCATGCATGAATTTCAATGTCAAATTCAAAATGCCATAAAATCATGTTACCAACATGTCCAATATTTTTCCATGATCAAAATAAGATATAAAATTTCTTATCATTTATCCTATAAGCTCGTAAGCTTATTTTTCCAATATACTTACCATTTATCCCATAAGCTCGTAAGCTTATTTTACTAATATATTTGTCATTATTTCATAAGCTCGTAAGCTTATTTGTATGCTTACCATTTATTAAGCAATAAATCATAAACCATAGACAATAGCCCAATATAACACCCTGAGGACCCTTGGTATTCGAGTAATATTTGCACTGTAGTGCTACACATAAGGTCGTGCCCACCATATACACCGAAGTGTATTACACATAATGTTGTGCCCATCATATACACCGAAGTGTATTATAAACCTGCTGCTGCTATAATATATGGCATGCCAACTATACCCTGTCCCCCAATGACTTACTTGGGCATATAGTCTATTTTATTTGATCCATCCATGGCAAAATATATTAACATAATTTAACATTGGGCAGTTCATACCCGAAATAACATTCATGGTAAATCATCACATTTTCTATAATCAATGCATTATAATTTCATACGTTAACATATAAATGTCATGTCAATTTATAAAAATATGACATAATATCATGCTGATATAAATAAAGTCGACTTATCACAAGTCTTCCTGATGATGTATAAAACATCCATGTATAATGTTATGCATGTATTGCACTCACCTTGACACTTTATATCTTTCAAAAATATGTGTCTCACTATTGTCCACAATAACCCTTTTCTTTTATACTCGAATCGCTTTGAACACCGAATAAATCACGATCTGTATAAAATATAGATTCATACCTATATATATGTTAGTATTGTACTAACATAAATATATTTCCAAAATAAATTTCATAATCATACTTCAAACTATTCACCACCAATTACTTTAACACTTATTAATTCTTTTTAATATTGAAACCAACTTTTCCAATTTACTCAAAATGGTCATTCACCATTTTACCACTTAAATTCTTAATACCAATAATTCCAGCATTGAAATTATTTCCATTCAAATACTTTTACAAAAGCATAATTACATTTAAGTACCCCAACTATACAAATGTTGCACTTAAATCACAAACCTTTTCAAACTTCCAAAATAGTCATATTTCACATCTAACACTCATTTCAATTCCCAAACAACAATTTCCAACATAGTACATCAATTATATATAACACTTACACAACAACCCATCAATTTTCCATATTCAGACAACTCGCACTACCTTTAAAGAATCAATATCCTGTATTGATATACACATTGGAATTTAATTTTGTTTATTCCGTTGAAAACTAGACTCGAATAAGAATATATCCATATAAAGAACTCCTTCTAATTCATTCTGCACAATTTATGGTGAATTTTCAAACTCACTGCTAATTTCAAAATATAAACTGTTTTCTTTAACCTCATCCTTAGATTCTTCATCAATTCTTACAACCAATTCTTTAAAATCACTTAACTCTTCATAACCCATAAAACACAAGAAGTCAACATCCTCTTCATCAACTCAAGATGAACTTGGACACTAGCAATATTGGTATCAAATGATAGCGTTTTTCGCATATAATAATTTTCTATTTTCAGCATACTCAAAATCCTAAGGAAATTGCTTGAAAATTGAATTGAAGTTTTCTCTTACCTTAAGAGAAAACCCACGCAGCTTTGGAGAAGAAGAGAGCAAATTTGGATGAAATGTGGGGGAACATCTCATCTTAATTTACATTATAATCCACTATAAATGAATATAATATTCATTTACTTGAGATAAAACCAAATCACCCTTAATGAATCTTCTAATTCACCATAAAACCATGAAAACTCATCCTTATCATATTTCAAAGTCAAAGCTGAATTATTTTGACTTTCATTTATGAAATTTCCCCTGAATTTTTCAAATCTTGCGTTTTAGTCACTAAATTCCACTGTTTCGGTTAAATCTAAAAAATTGAACATTTCCAAACTAAATTTCTCTGATCCAAAATATTAAAATAATATTTCCAATCATTTTATAACATCCTTCAAATTTTTGTAAAACTCCAATTAGATCCGAATTACCAATTTCTTATCGGCTTTAACCCTTTCTAATTTTTCTTTACTAAAATTCCATGATTTCTATAAAACCCCACTCTCAATAGTAAAATATCTCTTTATGGAATAGAATTTTTTTAAGGAAATTTATCACTTAGTTCCCTAAACTTTTTCTCAATTTTCTACTTTGACCATCAAACTTTCCAAATTTTCATTTTGATTATTATCTGAATTTTTTGGTATTATATTTGGTATTTGGTTTGTGTTGTGATTTTAGGGCAATTTAGAAAGTGTGTCCCATAACCATAATTCTTAATGAAATTTTTGTCTTATTTGATTTTTATTTGATTTGATTTTTATTTTTTCTAAAATACTAATTAAGTTTATGAACTTTTAAAAAATATAATTTCGCTCTCGAATTCAATCAAAAAATCAATTTAATTCATCTATCATGTTAGCAGTCATGTTATCATTGTGGATTATCACATTAGCATAATAAACTGTCATGAAAATCAGATCATATTATATTTTTGGGTAAACTAAGTATTTAGTATCTAAACTATCAGTTTTAGTCTGTTTTAGTACATAAACTTTCAATTTTTTCAAAATCATATCTAACATTTAGTTTTCATTTCATTTTAGTACAGGCCATTAAAAACTTAACGCATTTAGTACTTAAAGTATCAGTTTTGGTCCGCTTTAATTCCTGAACTTTTATTTTTTCAAAACTTAACGTTAAATTTTGAACGAGATGCTAAAATGAAACAAAAACTAAACTTTAGGTATGCTTTTAAAAAATTTGAAAGTCTAGGTACTAAAATATATCAAAATTGATAGTTTAAGTATTAAACGTGTAATTTACTCTAAATCTTTTTAAGGAATATATAAGGGTTATATTAATTTTATTTGGAAAGTACAATGACTAAGAGACCTTTACTTAATTACTAACTTTCTCAGTGAATCTGAGTGGTGGGTTTGGACCCCACAGTAGAATAAAGTTGGTGGTAACATGAAAAAGAAACATTTTATTATTATTACTATTATTATTGCAAAGAAACATAGAAAGTATCAAACTTTCAAAAGGAAACATAAAAATCCTTTCTCACAGAGTTTTGATGGTCAAAGAAAAACTATGTCACAATCAGTGGGTCCATCTTTGCCTGAGAACAACAAATCCTGCATCTTCTACAAGCTAATGGTGCCCTCCATTCTCCATGACAAGAAGCTAGTTAAGTTTTTTTCTTCCTCTCTTCTGTTTGGTTCCCGGGAAAATTTCACAACTTTTCTGCAAATTTACAGCTTGTGTGGTAGTTGAAAGAAGAGAAATTTGAGGTGTTTGTATCATAATTAACCCATTTTTTTGGTATCATCTAAACCAGTCTTTGATCATTTCCCCTATGGGACTGAAACTGAGGGAAATTTCACTCAGAAAGTTACAATTTTTGCTTTTTCTCTGTTGTTTTTCTCTTTGATTTCTGTTTTTTTTTTTTTTTGTGAGTTACGAAAGTGTCGGATACCGTTATGTTTCTGTTTCGAATATGTTGTTGTTGATAAAAGTTATCCCACATTGAGAAGAAAGGGCCACTTTCTGAGATCAGTACACAATCTTGAGGTTCGATTTCAGTTTCGATTTTCGGAAATCGATCTTCGAATTCGAAGATCGATTTCCGAAAATCATCGATGACTGTGACTAGCATTTGTGTTTCAGCTGCAACATTTGGACAATAAGAACATGTTTTGTTGTTCTTTCTGCAATAGAACTTGAATGATGAACCAATGCTGTGATATCTCTTCGATTCTGACTCGCTTTTTGTACTCGCAGAGGATCCCGAATAAGTTCGTCAAGAGATTCGGCGACGAACTCGCTTCGATCGCTACGCTCGCCGTTCCCGGTGGCCGGCAATGGCTAGTCGAATTGTGGAAAGATGACAAGAAGATATGGCTCGACAGTGGTTGGAATACGTTTGTCGAACATTATTCCATCTGCATTGGGTACTTCTTGGTGTTCAAATACGAAGGGAATTCTCGTTTCGATGTTAATGTGTATAATCTAAAAGCTTCGGAGATCGATTACCTGTCGAATGGTCTAAATAATTTGCCGGAACCGGTTTGTAATCCGCGTTTAAAAGACGTCAAAGATGGTGACTTTGCTGATAAGGATGTTGAAGATTGTCTATATCATGATAGGAAGAGGTATAAGAGCTCTACATGCCTGCATTCAAACCATGAACTTCATGATTTACGAGCAATGCCTCGATCTACCCGAGACAAAGGCATTCAGTTCAATGGGGTTGATGTTACGAGTACCGGAGATGAAGGCAGACTGTGTTTCTCGAACGAGACACAACGGATCAACGAAGCTATGAAACAAGAACCGGACCTGAGTAAGCTCGATAAGCTTGAATGCTTTTTTATAGGGTGTTACTGATTGACTTTGCTTGTTCTAATTCATTGCAGATATGGAAGAACACGGGCCATTATGGAAAATCAAAGTGAAAGACGAGCTTCCAGCCCCGAACTCTCCGAGTGTTCCCCGTAGGCGGCGAGACGTGACAGCAGAAGGAAAACAGAACGCGTTCCATGCGGCTTCGATGTTCAAACCCGACAATCCTTTCTGCAGGGTCATCTTGCGACCATCCTACGTATACAAGGGAGTACTTCTCGTAAGCTATGTTACTCGGACTATCTCCTTCGATATCATTTCTAGATTCGAAACATATTCTAGACTAACGTCCTTTCTCCTTTCGTGTCTGCAGCACTTGCCCCGCTGCTTTGCTCAGAAGTACCTGAACGGAGTCGACGGGGTTATAACGCTCCAGGTATCGGACGGTGAAAAATGGCCAGTCCAATGTGTTTATGGTAACAACAACTTGAAGTTCAGCAAAGGATGGGCCGAATTCGTCATGGATAACGACTTAGACGAAGGAGATGTTTGCATATTCGAGCTGATTAACACGAAAGAGATTGTGCTGAAAGTTACCATATTCCGAGCTCTTCGGCCGAGTAATCCGATCGTCGCCTAGATAATACCATCAGGTACCTCTTTCGTGCAGGTTATTGTAATGACATTGAACTCGACTGCGGTAGCATAAATGTGTATAAAATCCTAGACGAGTTTGAGTTATAACTCAGCTGCTTTATTGGTATATTTGCAATTTAGTGTATGAAACTATAGACAGTGACTTTTTTGATTTAGGGATTTATTACACTTTTAGTCCTTCACTTTTCACCCACAAATAAGAATCTCATTTTTACACTTAACTGGACAAATTTCTCATCTAATAAGCCTAAACTTGGCTCAACAAATCTAATTAGTCTAATTTCAGGTCCCAATTAAGGGTCATTATAGGTGAATACGAGTGTCTAGGTAGCAAAATTTTTTTTATTAATCTGGGGCAAGTACAAGATACGAAAACATTTAAGAATTTATGGTACACTATGAGTTGGACCTGAGAACTTCGATCATGTGATGTCCACCCGGAAGCGAATCATCGTCCCTGTAAAGAATGACGGTGTCACCCGAATCGAGTTGTTTAAACCGAATGAATTGGATCTAACCACTGACGATGTCGAGTTTCAGGACGACGCCGGCTCGAATCACGCAACGAAAGTTCCGTAAGATGCCGACATCATCCTTGACCTGCAACACGTTGCCATTGGTCACCATGTGACTCTGGTAGAGCTTTCAAGTAGCCATATGGGAACGATAATGTTTGAGAGTTTGACATGGTTGATGAATTTAATTTGTGTGGAAAAGGTTAAACGAGAGACCAAAGTATGGAAAAGGACAAATTTAGAGCCCTTATTTATAGATATAAATATTAAGGGTAAATTACAAATTTGGTAACTAAACTTTACTTTCTCTCCTATTTCATTCACTGTATTTTAAATATTTTCAATTTCTTCACTGAACGTAATACTTTGAGTTTTTTTTATTACTCGGTCGTTAAATAGTTAACGGCATTAAAACGGACTGTTATATAAATGCAAAAATACGTTGTTTTGGTGAAATTTTTAAAAAAAATTCGATTCAATTAACAGTTAAAATAAAAAAAAATCGATTAATAAAATTTAGGTAATTCGATTCGGCCGGTTAATCGAATTACCGTTTGAATGCCCTTAAATATATGTATGGCGGTTGGATTTAGTTAAGGAAGAGCTGGAAAGAGAGTTTATATAAACACGTAAAGTGAAAGCCGTGCTACTTGTTGGATTAAATGATAATTAATTAAATTTAAAGCTCTAATTAATTAGTCAAAGTGCACAAACAAACAAAGAGACAACCACACTCAACATAGAGACAATAATATTATACCTTTGACATTGATTAAGATCATATATTAAACATGTAATTAATAAATATTTAATAGGGTAAATTACGTATTTAATATCTAAACTATTAATTTTAGTCCGTTTTAGTATCTAAACTTTTATTTTTTAAAATACTAAAAATTTTAAGGGTAAATTATACTAGTGACCACCTAACTATAATCCCTTTTAATTTTAACCACTAACATTTAACGAAAGTCATGACGTGACAGTTAATAAAATTAGTATAATTATACATTTAATCCTTAATATTTATACATTCTTTCAATTTAATCATAATTTTAATTTAATTTAATAAATAATCTAGCTCATGCGAGGAATTGAACCAACAACCTCTAACTCCTTTAGGCATGTCAAAACTGTTGGACTGAGTCCCTCAATTAGTAATGAATTACAACATTTTATATATAATATGTTATACTTAGGGATGGACATGAGACTCAAATCCGACGGATTCCGACCCGACCCATGCTCATCCCTAGTTACACTTAATAGGAGAAAGAGAGAGAAAAAATAGAAAACTAACATTATTTAAAATAAATTCAAACTTGGGATTTTAAGAGAGAGTGTAAGCACCTTAATCATTAAATTAGATCCTATATTCAATTAAAATTTACAATAATATATATATATATATATATATAAAACCATTAAATTGAGTTTTTTAAAAGTAAAATTTAGATTTTTAAAATTTTAAACTATATTTATTTTTAATATAAATTTTTATATATAATCATTAAATTATTTTTATAATATAATTAATAATTTTGATTTATTTAATGATTATATATATAAAGATTATTAATTATGTAAAAAAAATTAAAATTATACTTTGATTATATAAAAATAAATATAATTTCAAATCTTATATATATTAATTTTAAATTAATTTTGTTAAGAATCTGAATTCAAGCTTTAATGAAATTAATTTTTAAATTTTATTTTAAAAAATTAAATTTATTTTTCTATATATTAATTTTATTATTATTTTTAATCTTATACTAATTGTATTTTAAAATATATATATGAAATATTTATAGTTACAAGTCATTAATTAAAATTGCTTAAATAATTTTGATGTTTATATTTCTCTAAAAATATCAATATTAGATTCATATTATTGTTTTCGTTATAATACAAGTTAAATATATTATGTTTTAGTTTGTTACCAAGTGAATGCCTTAGTCGTGTGGTTCAGTCAAGTATGACCAAATTGAAAAAAAATATAAATATTGAGGATCAAATATATAATTATATTAATTTTATTAACTACCACATCATCACTTCCGTAAATTTTAACAACAAGTGACCTAATTAAATACATTTAAAAAGTTGGATGACTTGATTGACAAAAATTCAAAAGTTATGATCAAAATGAAAAAGATTAGAGTTAATAATCATTGGTATAATTTACCCAAAATTTAACGTTTTGAAAAAAAATTAGATATTAAAACAGACCAAAACTGATAATTTAAGTACTAAACGGGTTAAGTTTGAACAATATGGTACTAAAATAAAAAAAATCTAAACGTTATGTATAATTTTAAAAAATTAAAAAATTTAAGTACTAAAACATACCAAAACTAATAATTTAGGTACTAAATGCATAATTTACTCTTTAATAACACCATGATGTTATCAAAACCATATAAAATCATATGAGATTGATTGAAAATGTAACATCATGGCTAATTATCCTTGATTTTTCACTTTTGATGGTCCTTGTGTTTTCTGTATATACTACAATGGCATCCCATTGCCATGAATAAGCACAATGGTAAAACGCATATCCATAGTTGATGATGAGGATCAATTTTATGAACCAAGCAGCTTCTTCCATCTGGCATACCCGAGGATAAGCAGGAAAATCAGCACACTCCCTGCTGTAATACATCCCACAAAGATATCGAATATGCCGTCGACGTGGTTCCATGTATAGGGGATGTTCATGCCGAACCACCCAGCTATCAATGTTTCGATGGCTATGGCGAATGATGCGATGGTCAACGTCAATTGAAGTTGAATGAGTTCGTTCCGTTGGTTGTCCAGTTGGATGTTAACGTAGTCTTCTGTATCATCGATGTACTCGCGAACCTGCAAAATGTAAGACTCAAGGGGCATGAAAGTGGATGTGCATCGATTCAGCATGATGAACACAAATACTCACAGATAAGATCTTGTTTCGTGTTCCATCTAGCTGCATGAAATAAGCTTCGAGCAACATCTCTAAGTCCTCGACATCATTGTCGTCCAAATTGTGGCTGCTGCTCACCATACTCCCACTTCTGTTTGAACCGAGTCGAGGTATACGAGGCAAAATAGTAGTGATGCTATTTGAGGCTGCAGCTCCCGACAAAGCCTCTGATTGCTGATTTTTGATCCACTTTCTTGTTAAATACAGATTTGCCATATCTTCATTGTCATCCAGTAGATGTTCAATTTCATCCCTCACCTGACATTTAACAGGGAAATCGATGCGGGATCAATCAGTTAAATCTTCAATGAATCATACATTTGTTTCCATTCGATCCTTTCCGTCCCTTCAAAGACATGCACACAGAGACACCGAATACAGATACGAGCAACAGCTAGTACATGGAAAGAAACAACATGCATAAAAAAATACCTTTTGTACACGTGCAAGAAGACGAGTGAGATTGCTTTTCAAACTCCGCACATGCTCCAGATTCTTGGTACTGACATTTCGGGCCAGTTCATCCAGCACAGGGTAAGCATCCCTCTCGAGTTCCGCCACACTTTTGTCCAGAAACAAGCAGACAACCTCTAATGCTATCTCGAGAACCTGAAACTCGAATGGAAGCTCACACTGCAAACCCTCCATAGCTTCTGGAACAGGCAACCACTGTCCACCGGTTGAAACATGGGTTTCACTGTCATTTACATCCCCGGTGCCCGCCCCCCGTGTCTTATATGCACTTCTATGAGGAAGTTGTAGTCTTAGTTGATCCACGAATTGAAGAACCTCCTGTTGTAGAGGGTCCAGTATAAGAACTTCTTCAGCCGTAACTAAAGCCTTTATAAACTCTAAATTGACAACCATGGCTTTCTCCCGGGCTGACAAGGATACAATAGAATCTCAGAAAGATTTCTTAATTGTTTCATGATAACAATGAGTAAACAAAACATCCGCTATTAATTGTACGATACATGTACCAAGACGGTGAAAATAGATCAAGGTAAAAAACAGGTTAAAATATCTAAAGAAAATTCTTTATAACTGTTTCAAGATAATTATAACTAAATAGAGCATCCAGTATCCTTATTTGATCGATGGATATATCAAGACAATGAAATAGACCAAGGTACAAAATGGATCGATATAAGAAAAAATGGAATAGACTCTCGAGCGTATAAAACCGAACAATAGTTCACGACTTTCCTCTTTTGAGAGCAGACAAGCAAATAGAAGAATTCAAATGCTTGGTTTACAGCTACATATTTACCGGAGTCCCTTGCAAAAAGGATTCTCAATCATACAAGTGCAACTGCTAGGGAACTCGTGTGATTAGGCATGATGGTGTCAACATGGGGTTTTTTCTAACTGAGATCTGCCTGAACCCTATATTCAGCTGACTATCACGTGCATAGTTCATAATCAAAGCAAACTAAACCTTTAATTAATACCCAGTAACTTAAAACATGGGAAAATTATGCGTTTATATACCTAAACTATCAATTTTGGTCCATTTTAGTACCTAAACTTTCAATTTTTTCAACATCATACCTAAAGTTTAGTTTTTGTTTCATTTTAGTACCCACCATTAAAAACTATAGTTTTTTCATTTTAGTATCCCGTTCAAAGTTTAACGTTAAGTTTTGAAAAAATTGAAAGTTTAGGTGCTAAAACAGACCAAAACTGATAGTTTAGGTACTAAACACGTTAAGTTTTTAACAGAGGAGTACTAAAATGAAAACTAAACATTAGGTATGGTTTTAAAAAATTGAAATTTTAATTACTAAAACGGACCAAAACTGATAGTTTAGATACTAAATGTGCAGTTTAAAAAATCCAACGGTCAACAGAGAGTAACAATATATGCTGAAGTGTTGGCAAGCAAGCAAGAACAAGAGAATACTTCAAGAGAGTAACAATCAACTAAAATGTTCAAATTTTCCAAGTTTCTCAATATATTTTTCGAGGGTCCAAGGTCATATACCCATATTTGGCAGATATGTGTCGGACACGAGCATAGAATACTTCAAGAAAAATGAAGTGTAAGAACAGCATTGATGGGTCAGAAGTTTAACAAGCAAGAAAATTAGGAAACCACTCCAATGGCACCCATTTCTAACAAAAAAATGTCGGAAAGTATAGAACACGAATACTACAAGAAAAATGAGTGTGAGAACAGCATTGATGGGTCAGAAGTTTAACAAGCAAGAAAATTAGGAAACCACTAGAGTGGCACTCATTTCTAACCAAAAAATGGCCCCTGCCTTACTTTCAGAAGCAATCTTCAAATCTAAATATGAAAAAACTTTTACACAGTTCAAATTCGATGTATACCCAGAAATCTGAATCTTAGCAGCATATGCGAACTCCACTATGAACACACAATTTTTACAGTTCCTAGTTCATACTTCCTACTCGCAAGCTAATAGAATCCAGAAGCCTCAGTATATAAAGGAATGAACACTACATCAGGTGAACCCTAAAATCAAATAACTCAAAATCAGTGAAGTAAAAAATGGATAACTTCAACCAAACTAAATCCATTGAGAGCAATTTAAACATACCGAGGATCGTAGAGGAGTGAGAGAAGACAGGGCCAAGGATCCTCAGATCCCTAGCAGGGATCGAAGCCCTTTTGATTATCATACTCTTATCAAATTCCACCAGCTCCGAAACCCCACTTGTGTCGAATCTCATCCACAGCCTTGCTCCATACGCCTTCTTCTTCCCCTTCCCCGGCGCTCCCACCCCACCGCCGCCAATCAAGTTATCCGTACTAGGATGCGGATGTGAAGACGAAGAAGCAGCTTCAATAGTCGGCGGCGGCGGAGGAGATTGAGGTGACGTCGTGGATTTCGGACGCCGTCGCCTAATGGAGGGGCGCCGGAATGAGAAGGGGTTTTTGCCCATGGATAACTTATACTATCACCTGTATAAATTTTGGTTGTTTTTTCTTCTTCTCCTTTTCTCCCTCCTCGATTCCGGTTCTTCTTTTTCTTCTTCCATAAACGAATTAAAATCGGACCCTCTTTTAGGGTTTCATAAGCCAGAAAAGGCTCTTTGATTCCATCGAAACACTGCTTTTTGAAACCTCACGGTGTCCCACTTTGCGTAGAGGACAACTTTGTCTATGTTGTAAAAAAAATATTAATTATGCATACATTTTTTTTAAAATTGACTTAATATTCTTTTATGGTATTTTGAAAAAAATATTAATTATGCATACATTTTTTTAATAATGACTCAATTTTATTATATTCACAACGGAAAATATTTTATATAAAAACATATTTCAAAAATTATCCAACAAATGATTAAAATAAAGTGATAAAAACGAATTAGTTCAAGTTATAAACAACTAAATATTACTTAAGTAAGTCTCGTTTTTAAGTCATTGTATATGAAAAAAAAATCATAAGGAGACTCACTCACTAAAACAAAATGTATGATAAGGATCGATCCAAATTAATCAGGACGAAACCTAAAACCTACCAAAAAATGAATTAAATTCGAGTTTGAATTATAAACAAAGACTTTTACTTGTTTTCCATAAAAAAGTATATGGAAATTTGAGAAAAAATATTATCAATTATCATTTTAAACAACATTTTAATTATTTCCCAATTAAATTAACATTTGATAAACTCACACCAACTCAAGTAAAAAATTTATAATCCATCACCTCCATAACAACTAATGGCATGATGATCATTTTATAAGCAAATGAAATTTTAATGAACATTTTGTAACTTCTGAAAGTTTAAGGGTTAAAATGGTTCATTTCATTATAATTTAGTGATCATTTCTATACTTTACCCTGTAATATAAAAACCAACCAACTGGTAGACTCTTTGGGGAATTCCTTGTCCCTAAAAGAAAGTGCACATATTTTAGCCATTCAGTTCTTACATAAGACATCAAATAAATGCAAAAGGGATGAAGAAGGGCAAATGCATAACCAAAGAGTCTAATATATATATATATATATATATATATATATAAACTAGTTTTTCTGCCATTCTAAATGAAGCTTCCAATTATACATTTGTGTGTAAAAGAAAGTAAGAGGCAAAGCAAAATCTCAAGCAAACCAACAATACTATGACATCCCTACCTTAAAACCACGTGATTTCCTCCCTAGGCTTTGCTCTGGGGTCTCGACCAGTGTACACCTTCATCTAATCGTTTATTGCCTCGACGACAGCTAAAGATGCCTCACGGAAACACTGACGGTTATATTTTCAAACAACAAAAGGTTTAGTCGCACTTGATGTTTCTGTAGATCCTCCTCACGAACAAATTCGAGCCGAGATAACCAACAGCACCTGCATTTCGGAAAAGGAAACGATAAAGAACTCACATGATGTAGAAACAAAACAAAGGCTGCTAGACAGCAATGGAAAAATAAGCCCTCCTACTAGGTAGGCAAAAAAATGTACAGAGTAGATGCTTATTCGGAAGGAGTGCATAAAAAGGCGAGATAACTGTATAAATTGTTTATAATTTTTTTCTTCAAAACTCACCGCAGAGAATTCCCAAACCAAGACAAAACATCAAAGTGTATCCGAAGTAGAAGCTGGTCTGGAAGAAGCCTGACATCTTGGTTTTGACATGGTAATAGTATATGGAGTACAAATACACATAGATTGCGGTTGAGGCAGCGGAGAAGAAGGACGTCCACTGCCAATCGTAGTTCTCGGCATTTAGCAGGAAATATGTTCCCACAATTGTTACACAAATGGTTACGATGATTAGAATCAAGAAGACTAGCAGCATAAAGCCATAGACATAATAAACCTGCAAAACACAATTTTTTGCGTTCACGATTTCCATGTCAGAAAGAAATGAAGACTATGTTCTAGCATTCGTTAGCATATTAAACAATACACAGTAACTTTCAGTTTGTACAGCATAAGATTGAAAGGCTACCCGATCAGTTTTAAAGTTTTCTATTTCATCATTTTCCTCAGATGGTACATAATTGGCACACACACATTAGATGTATTTCTATTACGCCAGTCTCTCTATACAATCAAGACACAACTCACGAGGGCACATGAGTCTAGAATTATCAACCAAAATTATTTGGTATAAAAAAATAGCAACAGTGATTTTAGTTCACCATCAAGCAAATAAAACATAGGGAAAAGAATTTCACCTTGTAATTCCAGAAGGATGTGAAAACAAAATACATTTCAATGAATATGCTGCCAAATGGCAGAAGTCCTCCCATCATAGAGATCACAGAGGGTGTGAGATACCATTTCTTTTCTGGAATCGGGCGAGGAATGGTCTTCACACGACATGGATTATTTGGAGCACCACTCCAATTTCTTCCAACAACTGTACCAAGAAGGGCCAGGGGGAATGAAATAAACGCCCAAATTACAAAAACAACCACCATTGTACCAAAAGGAATTGCTGCCAGAGATCCATAAAATATGGCAATTGTGTTCAAGATGAAACCAATCCCAAAGACTGTAAATGGAAACAGAGATGCCGTGAGGATCATAGCTTTTATCCAATTTTTACCTGAAGAAGAAAGAATCAAACTCTTTAGAGTGAGAGACAAGTAGAGGAACAAATGCAAGTGAAAAAGGATAAGTGATAAAGCCTGTACCCGCATTGCGTGAGTACATTCCACCACTCACATAACCAGAAATGAATGATGTAAAAGCATAACACAGTATAAAAGTTGTGACAATTGCTCCTCTCCTGAACCAATATATAAAATTGTTACGACTCAAAAAGCTGAAAGCTGAAATGTCACCAAAGAACAATTTGGTCTATAAATGAAGGTTCATAAAATATGAGTCCTCTTACAAAGGTATCCCACTGAGAGCTGCATGTAGGATGCTTGTTTTCTTCTTTTTGTTTATTTATAAATCTAGAAAGTACTAAATAAAGTGGGAAGATATTTCACGTAAGAAGAATTTTTTCTCAAATGGATCGTTAATTGATTTTTTAAGTGAAAGGACTTGGTCTCACTTGATTAGTGCCACCAACTCTAAAGGGTTTTATGATAAATATAGATGTTCACAACTCTAATGAGCTTTGAAACCTGACTAGCTTCTCGACATACCCGACATACAATGTTCCCACAATTGCCAATAAGATGACAAGGAGAACAAGCAACGCTAGCTGAGCACCTGTGCCAACAACAGCAGAAAGCAGTGCCAAATTGCGAGGAGGTCGGAAAACATCACCATGGACAAGTTTCCAACCAGACTCTTCACTCACATCCCTTTCCTGAGAGCATAGATGAAATTACAAGGAGAACGTGAATTTTCAAATGACAAAACTTTACTTAAAGAAGAGGGAAGAGAGGGTCTGGGTATTATTACCAAGCTTTCCAGATCATCATCTTCCCTAGCATATTTTGCATAGTCATTTCTCAGAGTTCGCATCAAGATCATTGACACCAAACCAGTGAGGAAGATAACCATCATGAATGAATTGAAAACAGAGAACCAATGGATCTACATATTGCAACATGTATCAGAAAATTAAAGAAAAAGAACAACTTAATGCAAGACTAATGAAAATAAAATAAATAATACATCGTTGCAAAAGAAAAAAAGAAAAGAATCCACTGAAGTTGAAAATTATCACCAACAATGGTACTTACTTGGTGCTCAAAGAAAGGATAGTCCAAATAAACATCAAAGCGACGGGCAAAAGTGACATTAGTTGGAATCCATTTGACAGAGTATGTCATTTCCAATACTCTACCTACTTCCAACAGTTTTGGATTCTCCTGAGTGAGATTGACATGAATAATCTGCAAGATCAAGTGTGGTCACTAACAGTACCAGATTAAAAAATAGCGAATTTAAGTTGTATATATACCAGGAACCACAAACCTGATTCTTATTGTACTTAATAACAATATTCTTGTGTGTGTAGAGGACGTGCTTGCCGTTATCACTGTTCTTATCAGGATGCAGCTCACCAACAAAGCCTAAAAAGATATAACTCTTCAGCAACAACCCATAAGGATTAATAAACCAGATAAAAGGAAAAGGAAGTAGGCTATGCATACCCCATAGAGGCAGATCATCTGAGTTTCAGCATTGTTAAGAGCACAAACATGGAAAAAACAGAAAAGCAAGGAAGATAGAGTAAGTCCTCCAACAAGGTAAGCCATATAGACAAAATGATACCTAAATCCATCAAACATCCTTTCAATGCCAAAACAATTCAATGCTTTCAGATCCTGAGATTTTCAGTACTCAACCAAGCTGTCAAATATCAGTATCTTTGTAGCTCTATTTGTACACACTTACTATACTTGTATAAAAGAATGAAAAGGTAAACATACCCACAAAGAATTCAAACCAATAACTGTTCTCAATAGCATCCTTGAACTGTCTGACCTTCACCTCATCAAGTTCCAGTTGGCAAATAGTACTTTTGTCAACATTCTCTGTTGAAGAATAAAATACAAGGAGCAGAAGGAAGAATATAGAAGTCAAACACATGGAAAAGAATTACTAAAGTAATTACAGCAATCAAAATAAGAATCCAAGAATGAAAAAAAAGAAAAATACTTTGGAACTTTATATCAATTTCGCTGTCTATCAGTTCATTTCCACCAAGGACCTCACCAAGACCACCCCACTTGTGAGCAGGTTTGTTATCCGGATGACAAAACGGTAGGATGTAATAGTTATATGTTTCCTGTGGATTGTTGTATGGGCCAACTTTATTCACCCATAGAGTAACTGGATCATCTGGTTGATACTGCAAGGAAAACCAAGACAGGACTCAGGAATTGATAAGAGTTGGCCGTAGCCATTGAAGTAGAGTAACAAAAGAAAAATATTACAGAAATCTATCTATATGTAACAACAAAAATCAGAATATCAAACACACATTGAAAGAGCAGTTATAAACTTAAGTTCTCATTAAGAAGAAATCTGATTTTAATATAAGGACATGCACATGATAGGATGATGTAACATTGATCTCAAGAAGGACCGGCATTCAGAAAGATACTTTGAGAAAGCTTGTGAAGCTTATATACCAAAAAAAATCAAATAAATGAAACTAAAAATTCGCATTCTAACAGTTTCTGATAGTAAAAATATATGAATGAAGAAAAGGTAGTAACATTATTTTACAGGCAAACTGGTTTCTAGCCGATACGTCAAGTCAACAAGCGATAGATATAAGATAGATAAGTTTTGGCACATCTAATCCAGGCCAGAATCCTTACACTGATAATTTGATTCAAGACTGTAGATCAAATTTCTAGGTCAAAGTGAATGATTGACATTTGACAAGCAACGGTAAAAAATAATAGTGTAATGACCAATCCACCAAAATAAAGAGTTTAAAAGTGCTAAGATCTATATACGTAAACCTAAATGAATGGAATTAGGAAAAACATCCCCATGCCAGATTCGTCACATTACCTCAACTCAGCTAAATGTGAAGAAGATACAACTCAATCGTGCATACCATTCTTTCGACCATTTCATAGATAATTCACGTTGAAATTTGTATAACAAAGAACACCAAAAATGACGCCTAAATCACCAATAAAACCTAAACGTGGAAACGATACAATTCAAGCATGTATATAAATCTTTAAAGTAAATATCTAGGTATGCACGTAAACGATTTCAACCATTCTTAGAAAAATTACATTAAGAAAGAGTCTATTCATCAGAGATCCATATCTTACACCTGATAATCACAAGATAATAACAATTTTAAGGTTTGAGTTGAGGTAAAGAGGGAAGAATAAGAGAGATTACCTTGTGATCTGACTCGGAACCGAAAGCGCGAGAGAGGAAGACGAAGAGAAGGAAGGAGAGAAGAGAGGAGGATCGGACGGTGGATGACATGGCCGGCGATGGTCGGATCTAGAGGTCCGGAAACCGATTTCGAAGGACAATGGTGATGAGTTCTCTTTTATTCTTGCATATTATTTTGGAAGCCTGCCAGATTTTAGAGAGACTGTCTTATTTTCGTGGTTAAATTACGTATTTAGTATCTATACTATCAGTTTTAGTACCTAAAGTTTTAAGTTTGTAAAATCATACTTAAAATTTAGTTTTGTTTCATTTTAGTATTCTACATTAAAAGCTTTAGTTTTTGTTTCGTTTTAGTATCCGTTCAAAATTTAACATTAAATTTGAATAAAAATTAAAAACCCATACCTCGATTTGCAGATACTACTCCATTTAACCTAGTTTATTGATCCGCCTTCCTTTCCCCCCCCCTCACACAAATCTAGCGATGCTTCTATTTATTTTCTCTGCCACTGCAGCTGGAATTAAAAATAACGAGATTAAATAAACATGTAGGTTTGTAAACATGAACCTTACTGAAGTTAATCGCCTTCCGAAGAAAAGCATGAACTTTAGCAACAATAGGCTGCCAAAGATCTTTAGGAGATGTTTGGTTCACGTCATAACTTATTTTCAGGAGAATGAAATCCACATTCTCCCGTATGGTTGGCCAACATTCTCAGCCCCGATAATCTTTTATTACCAATAGTGATATTTTGGGGTATATTACCGAGAATGTGATTACCCCCTTCGTTTAGGTATTATTGAATTACCGTCGTTTTGGAATAATAAAAATTCTACGAATGTTAAATTACATATTTATCCTTAAACTATTTTAAATTTACAAAAAATCTATAATTAAAATTTTATATGAAGTTCAGGGGTTAAAATAAAATTTTACCCTTTCATTAAACCTATTTATCTTTTCAATTTTGTAAAAAAATATATATATAAATTTAAAATTTTTAAAGAAAATATATAAATTAATTATAGTAATATTATAGTAAAATTCAACTTGTTAAAAAACAAATATATAATAAAAATAATTTGGTAAAATATACATTTCAATAATATTTTATTCTTTTAACCAAACACTGTAATCTTACATTCCTACTAAACCAACCAAACACAAAATACAACATTCTTAGTAATCCTATTCATCCGTAATCTTTTACTCCCACTGGTAATCTTACATTCCGTGAACGAAACACACCCTTATAGTTTCTCTTCGGGCCCAACGAGAGTATTTAGTTGAGGTTAGATTTAGACCCTACCGGTACAAATACAGGTGATTTGATTACATGTATAGATATAACGATGCATTTTGATGTTCTGAGCAGATGGTTTACCTTCAATAAAGGTCTCATAGATGGATCCCTTTCATATTTACTTTGATTGATTTATGTCAAACAAACAAGCTTTGTGTATGCAATGAATGCTCAAATACTCCTACAAGCATTATACTCGAACCTAAAACCTATGATAATAACAATTATCTCTTTAACTACTGAGATTGCTTGATTTATGCCCAACAGTCGAGCTTCGTATATGCAATAAAGCATCATACCATCTGCTGCATGATGATATTAACTATTTGGCCACACTATAGTCACAACCAACAACCCTAAAACCTTCTCTAACCAAGATAGATGCCTATAGTTTATTTCATTATCATTTAAGATGTCTAATTTTCTATTTTGTTACCGTTTTAAGGTTATCTCGTCATCGAACGTTAAAAAAACCGTCAGTTAATAATCGGTTGACATTGATTTTTTATTAATATTAAAAAAACACTAATTTTCTCAAATCTTTAAATCTCAAATCCCATGAAACACTCAAAGCAACGAACATGAAGTTTGAGTGACTCAATTTTGGTTTGGATGACAATGTAGTCTTAATTTTGGTTTGGTTAGCGACTTATTGCTGCGATTATTCTATTTTCGAATGACGACATGCAATAATAAGGGGACGATCGATCAATGGGAGTCCGAAACAAAAGGAGTGTTAATTCAATAGTGGTATATGAGATTTAAAGATTTGAGATTTATGGATTTAAGGAGTTTAATAATTTTGAATAGTCCAGGGATTTAAGAAATTATTTATTTTTAACTTTTTTAAATTAAATTAAAAAAATATATATGTTACACCAAACATTGATTGAATAACAGATTTTTTAATGATCAAACATCATAATCAATAATAAAATAAACTATAGACACTTAAAACAAATAAAAAAATATAATTAAAATGTTATTTTTAAAATTTATTTTTTATTAAGCTAAGGTGATTATAAAATAGTATATGTTACTATAAATTGTTTGATAATAAACACTCAATCATTATGATGCAGTCGCTGGTGCTCAAACCCATGACTTTTAGAAACAACAACGATTCCTTTAACCACTAAGGTAACGATTAAAAAAAGTGTTACTTTTTTGTTGAGATCCAGGATTTGAGCAGTTATGTCGGGAAGATGAGTGCATTATGAATGATTAAGAAAAGAATTTAGCAAGAGACATATAATTTATGACATAATGGATGTTTCCTTATTATAAGTAGAAGCACCCTAAAAGGATATATCACAAACTAGTTCATTAAAATCCATAAGATCCAACTTACATGTCCTATTAGATGAAGGTTTTGGCCAAATCCATGACAAAAGAGGTTTTAGTTTCTTGAGGTTTTTCATCTTTGTATTTGGTATCTTGATACTCATCATTTTTCTTCAAAGAGATCATGGCCTCTAGGGATAGATAATTGTATCGAGGACGGTTGGGGTTGAAATATTTGAGAAAAGTGTTTTTCATGGCCTCATGAGATAGGTAATTGTACTGAGGACGGTTGGGGTCGAAGTCCTTGAGAAAAGCATTCTTCATGTCCTCCTGAGATAGGTAATTGGGCATGAAACGCTGACTCACTACCACGTAAGCAGCTTCAAGAAGCATCCAGTCAACAGCCTTCTAGAAGATGAGCTGACGACTGAGCATTTCAAGCACATTTAAATTCAAGATTTAGAATTTATCTTTTAGAATTAAATTTAAATTATTTTTCAGAATTATCTTTTGTATTTTCTTAGGATTATCTTTAGTATTTCTAGGATTTTAAAAGATTATAAATACCCACTTCGGGTAAGCCATTTTTGGGATATCTCGAATACTAAAACATTTCTTTCTTTTCTTTCTTTTAATAAAATTTATTTCTTTATTATTTTCTTTTAAGCTTTGTTTTTAAAATGCTAAGTATGACTTTGGTCATGCTTAGCTAATTTTCTTTTAAGCCAAGGGCTAAGCGATGACTCAATTCTAATGTGAGAATTGAAAAGCACTTAAGTAACTACATATACATTTCTTAATTTCTTTTGCGCTTATTTCAAATCAAAATAATTTTTCAAAACCAAAGATAGTCAATGGTCGGAATGTTGTTGCGATTAAACATGTGGGAGGAAGGACCGACTAATTGATAGCAAATGAACTTACTGGGAACACAACTAGCAGATTGTTGCTAAGTGGGAATTGAGATCGGAAACGGTTTGTATGGAAACAACTATCCTAGTCGGTTTTTATGCGCTTAAGCGGTTCTTGATCTACGACAATTAATGTTGGTTAGATCTAAGAATTGCACTCGGGTATTCGATATACAAGTTAGTCGCAAGGATCTGTCATTGTAGACAAAGTAACCGACGTGAATCCCGAATGATAAATCTATTTCGATGATCCGAAGAATTTGAGTCAGAGCGAATGTCTAAGGCTGATTTAATCAACGGAGTTTTTGCTTTCCTTAATCTACCTTTCTCTATTTTCTTTAAATCAATTTTCCTTGTTTTTATTCTTCAACCAACCCCTTTAATTTGATCTCATTTTATAAATGGAATAAAAGAATATATTTATTTAAAAATAATAATGATAATGAAGTTATTGATGTAACATTTTGTCATGAAAAGATTAATAATTGTAAAATGACAACCCATAAAGAATTATATTAATAGTAAATCATTTTGAAACATAGTAGCCTACGGTATATTACAAAATGATAAATTAAACAAATAATCACTCAATTATTCGAGAAGTTTTGATTTTAACATTTAAATATCGTAATGATATATTTAAGCACCAAAATTACATTTAAAATATTGATCGTTTAGTCGTTATTTATTTTGGGTGTAGTACGAACCAACTTACCTCAATGGTTAAAATAATCGTTGTTGTTCCTAGAGGTTACCGGTTTGAGCACCAACGACTGCAACAGGGTGATTAAGCGTTCATTGTCAAATGGTTGAGAGTATTTCAAACAGATACTACTCTATAATAACTTAAATTTAAAATATTACAAAATGAAATAGATTATTACAAAATGATTGATTGAGAAAGTCACTCTTATAATGGATCTTTATAATACTCGATTCAAATTAATCGCTCACCAACTTAAAGACTGATAGTTAAATGAAATATAATGATCGTGCAGAATGGATGTAACGTGCAGAATGAATTTAATACTTCCTACGTCCACCATATCCCATTAGTTTAATGGATCTCCAGGTGGTATTAGATTTGGTAGCATATAAATTTATAAATAAACCAATCGATTAAGATTTGGTAACATAAAAAAAGTAGTCATGATTAGGGATTGGCATGGGTCGGGTCGGGTCGGTTTAGGTCGGGTTTTTGGTCCACTTGACCCGAGAACAATGAGTCCTCCACCCGAGACTTGACCAGATCAAAACAAGTTTTCACCTGACCCGAAATAATAAAAAATTTATTTTTATTTAATAAAAACATTAACTTAATTGAAAAATAATATATAGAGGGGTATTATTATAATTATTCATAAATATATAAGGTAAAATTATATTTTTTCGGATCGGGTATTTTTCACCTTAATCCCGAACCCGACCCGAACATCACATAAAAAAATCCGACCTAATCCGAATCGAATCCGAAATTTTTAAAAAAATCCAACCGACCCTGTGGGATCTCATGCCCATCCCTAGTCATGATTCCCGATCTTCTACAGAGAAACCTAATCGATTCGCCTTTCCCAAGTAATCACCCGTCATAATAGCTTCATTATTGAATATCGATGGACCTTTACAAATAATTGAATTGAATTGGGGCCAACAAGAAGTTATGGTTGAATTGGGATGGTCGTTGGACCTTTACAACACCAAATAATATGATTGGGAGGGTCATTAAACTTTATATTATTCGATTTAAATTAATATGTCGATAAATCGAACATTGATGATTTAAAAGCTAGGATAAATTATGTGTTTCTATTTAAATTATCAGTTTTGGTCTATTTTAGTATCTAAACTTTCATTTTTTTCAAAATCATACGTAAATATAAGTTTTTGTTTCATTTTAGTACCCAACTGTTGAAGACTTTAGTTTTCATTTCATTTTAGTACTCCACTCAAAATTTATCGTTAAGTTTTGAAAAAATTAAAAGTTTAGGTATTAAAATGGACCAAAACTGATAGTTTAGGTACTAAACGAGTTAAATTCTTAGTGATGGACACTAAAATGAAATGAAAATTAAACGTTAGGTATAATTTTTGAAAAAAGGTTGAAATTTTAGATGCTAAAAATAACCAAAACTGATAGTTAAAGTTTTTTTTTCCTAAAGGAATTAAAATTGTTTTCATAGAATCAACCAAAAATAGCAATGAATCACAATATTAGTCCAAGTTCAGTGTAGCGGGAAACAAGATATCAAATGGGTTGTCAAGATATCATAATCAAATGGGTTGTTTATCCATTTTTTTATTAAAATAAAATATTTTGGACCAAACATAAATATTCTTGCATATGTCTTCTTTGTTTATTTCCTTTCTATAAATAGGAAGGATTATTGCTTATCGACACCATAAGAGTTGTAAAAGTTTATTGTAATAAAAAAAACATGAAACCTTTCCTCCCTTTCTTTGCCTTCCTCTCACTCCTCCTGGTAAGCTCTTGCAGTGTTCGTTATGAATATTCAATTTTCATGGCGTTTTCACGTATATATTTTGTTAATTTGTATGGTTAATTATATATATCTATCTATATATATATATATATGTTTTTATATGGATGCAGTTTGCAGACACCCTTTCGGCTGCTCGAAAAGATGTTGGGGAGTACTGGAGAGCTGTAATGAAAGATCAGCCTATGCCTGAAGCACTTGAAGAGCTTGTTCGGATCAAGGTTGCCTCCGCCGGCGCTGGTGATTTTGAACCGATGCCAAGCGTAACGTCCTACGGTGGCAACGATGTTGGTCTTCACCGAGTGAAGAAACCGTTCGCTGGTGTTTTTGAACCGAGACCAAGTGTGACGGCTTATGGAGGTGATGGTGCTGGTCTTAAAGGAGAAAAGAAACCATTCACTGGTGATTTTGAGCCAAGGCCAAGCGTAACAGCTTATGCCAGCAATGATTTTGAACCGAAGCCTAGCGTAACAGCCTATGGCGGAGATGGTGTTGGTCTCAAAGGAGGGAAGAAATCATTCATCGGTGATTTTGAACCAAGACCAAGCGTAACGGCCTATGTCAGTAGTGATTTTGAACCGAGGCCAAGCGTAACGGCTTATGGTGGCAATGATGTTGGCCTTAAACGAGAGAAGAAGTCATTCGCCAGTGCTTTTGAACCGAGACCAAGCGTAACGGCCTATGGAGGCGATGATGCTGGTCTTAAAGGACATAAGAAATCATTCAGTAGTGACTTTGAGCCAAGGCCAAGTGTTACAGCTTATATCAGTAGTGATTTTGAACCGAGGCCAAGAGTAACGTCTTATGGTGGCAATGATGTTGATCTTAAACGAGAGAAGAAGCCATTCATCGGTTATTTTGAACCGAGGCCAAGTATAACGACCTATGGAAGCGATGATGTTGGTCTTAATGGACATAAGAAACCATACACTAGTGATTTTGAGCCAAGGCCAAGTGTAACTGCTTATGTCACCAGTGATTTTGAGCCGAGGTCAAGCGTAACAACCTATGTCAGTAGTGATTTTGAACCGAGGCCAAGCGTAACAACCTATGTCAGCAGTGACTTTGGACCGAGGCCTAGTGTAACAGCCTATGGCGGTGATGATGTTGGTCTTAAAGGAGGGAAGAAATCATTCACCAATGATTTTGAACCAAGGCCGAGCATAACGGCCTATGTCAATAGTGATTTTGAACCGATACCTTAAACGAGAGAAGAAGCCATTCACCATTGTTTTTAAACCGAGGCCAAGCGTAACTGCCTATGGAGGTGATGATACCGGTCTAAAAGGACAAAAGAAACCATTCACTAGTGATTTTGAGCCAAGGCCAAGCGTAACTGCTTATGTCGATAGTGATTTTGAACCGAGGCCAAGCGTAACGTCTTATGGTGGCAATGATGCTGGTCTTAAACGAGAGAAGAAGCCATTCATCAGTCATTTTGAACTAAGGCCAAGCGTAACGAGCTATGGAGGCGATGATGTTGGTCTTAAAGGACATGAAAAACCATTCACTAGTGATTTTGAGCCAAGGCCAAGCGTAACTGCATATGTCAGCAGTGATTTTGAACCGAGGCCAAGCGTAACATCTTATGGTGGCAATGATGCTGGTCTTAAAAGGGAGAAGAAGCCATTCATCGACTTTGAACCGAGGCCAAGCGTAACGGCCTATGGAGGCAATGATGCTGGTCTTAAAGCGCATAAGAAACAATTCACCAGTGATTTTGAGCCAAGGCCAAGCGTAACAGCCTATGTTAGTAGTGATTTTGAACCGAGGCCAAGCGTAACGTCTTATGGTAGCAATGATGTTGGCCTTAAACAAGAGAAGAAGCCATTCACTGGTATTTTGAACCGAGGCCAAGCGTAACGGCCTACGGAGGCGACGATGTTGATCTTAAGGCAGTGAAGAAATGATGGACTACAGGCCTAGTTATCTTGAACCAGAGACAACAGCCACATTTTACATATTATGTTTTACTCTGTGTTGGAATAAACTCATCATCAGACTTAGTGTTCTGCTTGTGTTTGAAAGTTTGAATATTCTAGCACTATTTTTACCGAGTGAATTTTCCATGAAATTTGTCACAAATTGGCCATTATAGCCCAAAAATAGGCATACTGAATATTGTTACTTTATAAAATAATATTATAATTTATAAATATTAAAAATATATAATTAATATTACAAGCATAACAAAAAAATATATCATAACAATATTATAAACAAAAAATTATGAATTTGATTATTATATAGATTTTAAGTTTTGGTGTACTTATTTTTAGAGGAATATTATTGGTAAATTTATTATTATAGTTGAATTTTAAAGGTAGTTGAAAGATTTTATGATAAATTCATTAAGTTCGAGATATTTTGTAACATCCTCAATATCGGGTTAGTGATCAAATTGTAAAGTTTCAGAATTTGGTGACTAGAGTAGAACCATGGATTAGTTCAATAATTTATTTGGAAATATGTAATACCCCAATTTAGGGGTTAAACTTAAGAAATTATACAGTGGTGAATTTAATTGGTATTTTTGGAAGAAATTGAGGATTAAATTGTAAGATTTCAAAGTTAGCAGATCGTTTTAAGAAATACAGGAAATTCAGTGGCTAAACTCATGATTTGACTATTTTTCTTTAAGAGTTAATATAAACCCTTTCTATAGAAATACACTCATAATGCCTCTCCCGATCAACAACTTTCAACTCCGATCTACTCGCCGTTTGACCTCCAATCGACAAATCAAAACCACCATCGTGTTCGTTGTCGATCGAGGAACAAAACCCCTCAAACCTTTTGTCACGAATCATCTCTGTTCGTCGTTAATTTCAGTCGGAAGTGTAATCGGTAATAACTCGATATTAGTTGATTTTTCATCGATTCACGACGATCCGGTCATCCGTTTATGACACCTCCCGCACCATCGTGTTCCTTGCATCATTTTAAGTCCACAGGTGTTCTACGTTTCTCCTTCGTCGCCGGCGCGTGGAGGGTGAGATCGTCAAAGTTTTCGACGTTTCGGAATCAAGCTCTCTGCCATTCAAAATTGTGAATCGAGCTTGGTAAGTGCCTCAAAATTGCTTAATATAATTTTTAGGAATTTTTATGGGAATTTACCGACACCGTAGCACTGTTCACATGCCACCCCCGAGAGTGGGCATCGTCTAGGTGATAATTTTGTAATTAAATTGTGTTTGGGTGCTATTTGTGTAAAATTCGGGTGTTAGTTTCATAAATATTTACAGAATGTGGCTAATTTGGTAATTAATTTCTGTTAAGGTGATATTTGTGTAAAATGGTTGACTGTTGACCGTTGACTGTCGTTGACCACAGTTGACCAGAAGTTTGACCGGCTTTGACCGAGCATTAAACGACCTTTGACTTTGACCGAGTATACCTATCATGTCATTTTTTGACGTTCCAAATCTGATTCCGCGATCTGTTTTTCGAAATTCGGACCTGAAGGCCTCCAAATTACAGTCAAACTTGTTGACTTTGATTTTGACCGAAAATTCAAGATTTTTGAAAAGTCATATTTTATGTTTTCGATGTCCTGAATTTGAATCCGAAGTCCGTTTTGTCAAATTCGAACCCGGTAAGCTGTTTTCACTGATTTATCATCCGGTTCGATCCGTTTTTTCAGAATTAAGCTTCATTTTTATGTAATTTCTATTGATATGGATCCGATGAAATATTGGAAGATGATTTCAAGATCGAGGGCGTTCGAATGGAATTTTTATGGTCGATCAGTATGACACGAAAATTGAGGTAATACTTTACTACCTTTTTATACTTTATGGAACATGTGAATATTGGTAAATGCATGAATAAGATAATGTTGGTCTCATTTGTGTAGTTAATTAATTTCTACACTTGATCCGAATACAGTAGAGATTTGGTAACTGATTATGGTTCATATGACTTTTATAAGAAATTAAGGAATTATTAGAATTAAATTTCAAGTTATGTGTTTGGTAATAAAGAAATCAATCTAGATATGTATCTTATAATTTATTTCATCAAAGGTCAAATGTTAAAGGTACTTGGATGAGAAATTATGAGAATACTCCGGTAAGGTAAAAATTATGAAAATAACATTATATTATAAAAAGACAAGATTTGACTATGGAAGTTGGATAAGAGATTTTTGATCTGATGAAACTATTGATGTGCATAAGAAATACTAGTTTTGGTTGGAAAATATAGATAATCGATTTTTAACCACGAGGATTTGAGCAAGAATCTAGGAGTCTGTTAAGGGAATCATTTCAAGATCAGAGAATGTTCGGGAAAGCAATTAATCATATGATCTCTAAATTATAATTATTTCCGTTAAGAACTAATATCGAAATTATCTGGTTAAGAAATTATGAAAATGCCCTTGAGAGGTAAAATAGTTTGAGTTGACCCTGAATGAGAAAGTACTTTGAGTATTTGTACTTAACTCGATAAATTACAGATTTAATTGTTAAGATACTATATTTGTACAGAAAAATTCATGATATTCCGTTTGTAAAATCTAAGAAGGCACTTGGCCCAAAAATATCTGAGTAATGAGTAAATACCTGAAGAATAATTTATCGGGGGTATTCTGTTGTCAGAATTATTCGAAAGGACTGAAATAAATGATAAGATTGAATTTAATAATAAGATCGGACGTAAGGAAATTATGGAAATACATTGGATCTGTAAAATGACCAAAATACCCCTGGAATGAAAATGACTCAAGAATGTCACCAAGCTCAGGAATGAATGGATATACTCAAGCTTTGAAATGAATAGAAAAGCGTCGAGCACCAAAATGACCTTATGACCTAGAATAAGTAAAAGCCTTTGATTAATTAAGAAATCCAAATAAACATGGATGTTGTGCTACCAGTAAAAGTTATGGAACACAACTTAAGTGATCAACCAACGCTAGTGCTATATCATTACCTGAATGATATAAGTACCACTTGAATGTTTGTTCATCTTCTCAAATTTGGATCGATGATAATTTTGGAAGTACTTGGCTCAGCTCAACTCTAGAGCGCATATAGTACTAATAAGTGGGTATTCGTGAGTCAAATCAACCACGAATACCAGAATGACTTTATTATATGAATAAATTGAACTGAAAGGAATTACAACTTGTATTTGAAATTCAGAAACGTCTGAATTATTCTGGAAAACTCTAAAGTAACCGGGATAGACTTGCTTACTAAACGAACTAAGTATCCTCAATGACTGAGGATTAAATAGGTGATTGGGTGAGTTTGGAAACACTGTTGAACTTGCATGATGAATTATCCTTATGGGTTATGAACCATGAATCAAGTAAGTCCGTATTTCATGATATCGTTGAAACGTAAAAATGAAATAAAGACTGTTGGAAGATCTATTCAGCGATGGTTATAGGGATAATCTATGGATCTGCATTATGGTATTAAAGAGTGAATACACTGAAAGGATAATGAATTGACTTGTTGACATGTATCAGTTTGGGAATTGTGTACCTCGAGTTGTTTGATAACACGATCGATAGTCATAGATTGTAAATGACTTGAATCTTCGATTCTATATTTTCATCTAAAATCACTTCGGTCATGTTTGAAAACGCAAGTAACGCAGAAGAAAAAGATTTTGAATACCTCATGTGGTTCAATTGGGCTGAAATCCTATGAATTCAAAGTATATTCCTGAATACCCCTGATTGTTTGGGTAATGGAATCACTCGCAATAAATCAGAATTTAGAATTATTATGTATAAAGGTTCCTGAACGTTTTCCTTATGCACATGGAAACTTAGTGGAATTCTAAAGTATCAATCTAAAATGTTTGTTTAGATCGATTAGTAATCGATTATCTTCAATAGAATCTCGTTCCTGGAATATGATCAAATTGCATAAGTTTTCTGCTATCCAAACTGATGACTACAAAATGCCTCTGATAAATATTGGGATTTCTCTAGTGTGTTCCTTATATTTTAATAAATTGTTTTAATATGTGGTACACTGAAATCTATGGTTACTGTTTTATGGATGCATCGACTTAACGATGATGGCTTATGGATTTGTATCATTGTATAAATTGTATCTTGGAGATACAGATTTGTAAAGTACAACTCTGATCAAGCTGGAAAATTTTTATGGACCTAATGTGACTCTTAGGTAGGCTCTGCAGCCCTGAGATCATTATCGGGTAGGCCCTGCGACCCTAAGACATATTCTTAGGTAGGCCACACGGCCCCAAAATCTATCTTGGGTAGGCTCTCAGGCCCTAAGATGTTCCCTTAGGTTAAATCTTTGTAAGATGGTTTTAAAATACGAGTTTAAAAAGCTCCACTACATAATGGTTTATGGGATTT